TTGTTGGCCAGTGACGGCACTGCAGTATGGCTGAGGCTGGCCTGCACGACCGGGATCAGCCTGGGCTAATCACGATGGTTGATCTTGTAGTCTAGTATCAGGACCCTTAATACTTGCAAAATATCTCGGTTGAAACGCTCGACAGACCCATTGATCCATGGGCTGTATGTTGGCGAGAAGATTTGTTTGCACTTGAGTCTAGCACAGAGGTCCTCAATCACTTCATTCTTGAAGTGAGATCCTTGGTCACTGATCCAATCTTTCGGAATGCAAAACGACTGTGCCACTCCATAATAGCATCAGCCGCAACGGTACTGGTAGGTAGATCACACTTAACCAATTCGCAGTAGTGACTCGCATCATCCTTCAGCACCAATACATACTTTAAGTCACCAAATGATTCACCAAGGTATAGGAAATCCCAGTGAAGCGCTTGGTATCGCTCATTGGTCCGGTAAGTCTCGCTCCAGGGTCTTGGCACTATCTTCCCCCCCTTAACATGATGGCAGAGTAGGCAGCGCACCAGAAATCGGTCTACGCATTGGCGTAACTGCGACACGTGAAAGACGCGTCCCAAGTGGGCCAACATCGCGTCCCAAGTGGGCCAAGATCGCGTCCCTACCGCGATGGCCTTGGGGACCACAATGTGCAATAATACACAAGCGTTGGAGTAGTTCAGTAGCCTCTGTTGGGATCCACAACCGGTTGTCTTTGCGTTGAACCCCGTCATCACCTTCCTCTAGGCCGTCTGGCATGTCCTTGGATCCAACCTTGCGTTGATCATTCACGATAGCATCTAGTGTCGGCCACACAAAATTTTCTTGGTCAAGTGGCCGTAGTAGCAGTTGGTCATGCTGGCGCTGACTGCGTGTTGTGACTCTGCGTAAACTGGTACATGTTGGCGTACGTGCCCAACGTGATACCATGTCTGCCCAAACATTGTCTTCACCGGCGATGTGATGTATCTCATACCGGAATTCTCCAAGTCTCATTGCCCATCGAAGCAACTTCCCACGTACATGCTTCTTCATAGTGTCGTGCGGGGCGAACACGTGGATTAAATTGCGGTGATCACAGTGTAATCGAAAGCCCGTAGGTCGCAATAGGAGGTGGGGTAATTTGTCGCACGCTGCTACTATCGCGAAAGCCTCCTTCTCGATCACACTCCAATTCTCTTGTGAGCCTGTGAACGTGCCACTTAGACAGTGTAGCAGTCGGTGATTCTGATCTGCAATCGGTTTGCCCTCTTCCCACGTCTCAACATCCGTCACAATGACACTCCATGCTACGTCGGAAGCGTCTGTGAATACTAATAGCACGCCCTCTGAACTCGGGTGTGCCAATGTAGCTGCAGTAGCTAAACAGTCCTTGACATTATCAAATGCGGCTCGCTCTTCGTCTGTGAAGGTCACCAGTAGCTTTGCTGCAGCGCGTTTGGTCCGTTTTCCAGCTCCCAGTGTCGCATCGAGCCGTTTCTGTAGCGATTGAACATGACCAGCATAGCTCACCAAGCTGTCTCGCATCCAATTACATGCGCAAAGAAACTGCTGTAATTTTCCTGCATTGGAAGGTAGCGGCATTTTGCGTAGTGCAACAACTCGTTCCGGATCATGGCGCACGCCATCTCCGTCAATAAGTTTACCACACCACTTCACAGATCGCTTGAACAGAGACGATTTTGAGGCGCTCAGTTTGAGGCTAAACTCGTCCATCAGCGAGAAAAACTCACTCAACTTTTCCAAGTATGTGTCCACGTCCTCTGCATATAAGAGCAGATCGTCAATCCATATCAGAAGATGCTTGTGGAGCAATTTAGCAAAACAACGTTCCATCTTCATTTGAAAGTGTAACGCGGCATCGCTGCATCCCTGTGGTACACGCGATGATGTATACACTTTGGCATCCGTCATGTAGCTGAGAATTTCTTGGCTGTCCTTGGCCAGCGGTAGCTGCCAGAACCCCTTGATGAAGTCGAAAAGTCCAAAGAAACTTATGCCTTTGACGTGCTCGGTGATCACGTGCAACATCGGCATGACACCTGCAATGGGTTCCGTCTCAGCGTTCACCGGTCGATAATCACTTGTCTGCCGAAATTTATCCTTGCCTGGCGTCTTAATGGGTAGAGCTGGACACGCCCACCGACTAGAAGCGTTCTCGAACACCCACCCGAGCCGGACTAGCTCATCATTGAACTCCTTCAGGAACTTCCTGATGTGCGGGGGGTATGCTCTTGGCTTGCATCGAAAAGGTTTCGCATTCTTCCTTAGACGGATCTCTAAAGGCTCAACCTTAGCCGGTGGATCCGGTCCAAGATGTAGCCTCCAGATGTCGTACATGAACACAATAGTGCGTAGCCGGTCCTCCTTCTCTGCAGGAAATCCGTTTTCCAATGCGTTGGCGATCATCCCCTCAACTGCTTGCCGAATCTCGTTATCAGGTGAAGTTCCACTGCAGAAATCCTCGTTGTACTCTATCGGGTCGCCATCGTCCGTCGAGGTCTGCTTTGCCAACTGTTCTAGTTGTCTATCAATGCTGATACCCAAATCACCGAGCATATCTTCGCCCACGATAAATTCAGCTTCGTCTTCTTCGATCACTAGTACTTCGTACGGTTTAACTGGCCTCACAGGCCCAGCCGCCGTGTGCATCATGATGTGTAACAGCACAGACTCCTTTGCCTGAATCGTGTGCTTACCCACTGTCTCGCATAATATAGGTCGATCCAACATGGTGGTTTTCACAAGTCCACCCAACTTCTTAAGCTTCATCAGGTTGCGAGCACTGATGATGCTTTTCTCGGCCCCAGTATCTGCGCAATAGGGCATGGACAATCTCTCTTCCAATATGATAGTTTTCTTTTGCTCCAAGAGACAGTCCTTGATGCGCTGCAACCTTCACGCGTCAGCATTGAGGCGCTTCGTGCCCTTATTGCTGTCGCGTCGCTCGTGCATCTTGCGTAAAAGGTCTTTTTTTTTCATCATCGGTAGCAGTCGGACAACGCGTAAGCCAGTGGTCACCTTTGCACTTTAGGCAACAACCTGTCGAAGGCTTGGAGCTCTTCTGCTTGTTGATGCTCTACTTACTAATGACAGTTTTCGCGGGCCGTTTACCGTCGGATCTCTCCACTTTTCGGTGTTTCAATCGAGGTTGAGACGAGTCATTGTCGTTTGTAGCGTCCTTCCTCTTGCGATCGTTGTGATCATTTGTCCGCGATCGCTTGCGCCGCTGAAAATTGCGGTCCTGCTCAAGGGCTTTGGCAAGTATGAGCTTAACAGCTCTTTCTCACTATTTTTGGCTGTCCTGGCTTGGTACTTAACTGTGGTTGTCACCTCGTCACGCAGGCAGCGCGGTTGCAATGACTCCATCAGTAGTTTACATTTTAGCCGAATGCCTTCGTTCCCAGTGAAAATTCTTGCCACCCTTGCTCTTCTACAAACTCTCTGCTTCGCGCAAAGAGTGCATGATGCGTCCTTGACGTCACTCTCAGTCATGTTGACCGGATATTTCATGATTAAACAGCGACGTCGGGACAGAGTGTCCTGACGACGAAAAATCTCGTCATCTGGTCAGATGACTCACCCTGAAAGACACCTTGCGCCATCAATTCCCCCGGAAGCAGAGTCGTGTCAACGATTTTCATGCTCACAAGCACTTCTGCCATCTTGTTAGCGTCGTTGTTGCATCGCATCGCCACCTCAGCTTCGGATTCACGTCGAAGCTTTCGCCATTGCACCAGGGAGGCGTGCGAAGTACACTTCAGCTGGGGTGCAGCAAGTGGCATAAATAACGCCACTGGTACAGTTGAACTTCCACTAGAATCGGTCGTTGTTGTTGCCGGAAGCATCGGGTTGCTGCGTGTTTCTCTTGTCATCTTTGGCTTTCACTGCTAAAGAATTCTTTGTAGTAGGTTGCGCTCAGAAGAAAGTTCAAAGACACTCGAAGGAAGCTGGCACTTCCTGTAAAGTCTTGTCGCCGAGTGTATTGAGCTTGTCGACTAGCTGTCAAAAATGAAACTGAGACAACTAAAACATGTACTTCGACTTGCTCCCCACATTGCCATCACTAGCGTTCTAGTGATGGTGCTCAACTCGTACTTCAACATGCACCAGCTTGAGTAGACGAACAGTTGTAGATAACAGCAGGCAGTTCTGATAAGCGTCTTTGACTTAACAAAAGACGCTCAGCTTCAACTCCATATCTCGCTGAGCCACATTTACATGGCTGACTGCAACCACATGATGATGGTCAACCTTGCTGCCGCAACTCGACTGCATTGCATGGGCTCGGTTGGGCTTTTAAACCACGACCCACTACAAAGATGACGCTAGTTATCAGATGATTCGCAACACAGTGCGCGGTAGAGTAGACAAGCGAGGTTTTTGTATCACTCAGTTGAGTTCACTTCGCTATTTTTTCTTTGGCACACACATCGCAATCTCCAGTAGAAGAATGGGTTTCTACGGCGTCGCCACACTGGTCACCGCTGCAATTTTGGCGAGTACTTCTACCTTGGCTGTAGTGGACCCGAACACAGCAGATTTCTTGCCTTTGTATCAGACGTCGGCTGCTGTCGAGGGCAACGCCCCCACGCATAGGCTTCTGAGAAGTTATATCCAAGTGGACGATGGCGAGGAGAGAGCAGCCTTGCCCGAGCAGCTTAAAAACTTGTTCAAGTGGGACGATGCAATTGTAAAGGGATTGACGAGCAAGTCGGAACCCCCTTACGAGGCTCTTGTTTCGTTAGGCCTTAGCAAAGTCAACAATAACGCCCTTTCTGACGCCAAGTTTAAAAGTTGGTTCAAGTACGTTGAAAAGACCAACAAGCACGACTGGGAAATCGAAGCGATTTCGGCTCTCCGACACGAGAACACTGAAGCAGTCGTGGCCAGTATGATCTCGGCGGGGACGAGCGGGAAGAACAAAGCAGTCGCCAAGAAGCTGGAGCAAGCTCAGGTTAAGGATTGGCTGGACGCTGGTTACTGGCCAGCAGATGTCATCGAAAAAGTCTACAAGCTCGGTCCGGGTACGTGGACTAAAATTGACGCTAGACCAGTCAGGGCGGCATACAAGAAGTACTTTGATCGAGATATCGTCAGTGCTGATACTCGATAACTACGACGCACATGTTTCAAAAGAAGGACTTGATGTTGTTGCCGAGACAACGTCGGCCCTGGTTTGTCAACCACCGCTTAACAGTACAGCGGTCTGCCAGCCACTAGACGTTGGGGTCATGGGGCCTTTAAAAAAGAAAATTACGGGAACGGGGAGGTCAGACATCAGCGCGGAGATGAACTCTGTGGCTGAAACTACTGAAGAGTCGGCGAATGACGCAGCATCAGTATATTGTAGCAAGTGTGGACGGCTGGAAACGCGCACGTGCTGGGAGGAATGCACCTGCTGGAATGAGTGTACATGAGACAACTTAAAACTAAATGATTTTTATGAACCTAAGTACGAATCGCGATTTAAGCACTCTAAACGAAAGCGGGGCGTCTCCTCTATCTTTTGAGGCCTTATAAGCTGCAGAATGCCTAAAACTGAAGAAGTTGTGATCGCTCAAAAATATTATCTTCATTTATGGGCCCTCGAAATGACGATACATTTAGGAGTGTTGTGAGCTCAATATTTTTTCAATTTTAGAGATTTAAGTGTTATTTAAAAGCTCTTGTTAAAAGCAATTGAATAAGGGTAGTTTTACAGTTTTTCGCTTGAAGTTTACAAAAAATTTCACTGTTTCAGTTAAGTGCGAAACTCAAATGGCCAACTTTAAGCTCGATTATCCCGATAACTCTAAATGGTTCGTAAGTATCATTTTGTTTGACGTTGTATCATATGCGATGGAGAGTGCTGGTGTCTGCAGGAGTGCGTCTGCGTGACACCAAACGAAGACGATAACGGCGCGAGCGAATCGAACACTGCGAGCACGGACAATGAGGTCATGGATGAATCTAAGGCTGAGAGCAATGCGGACAAAAAACATCTTGCTACAATACAACAGACTTTCGAGGCGTGGGGGGAGCTTTCAGAAGAAGTCGTAGCGAAAAGCTTCCGGAAAGCTATTCCAATGCGCCTGACAGTTGAAATATAATTTCTACTTTGCTTTTTGCTAATTAATTCGTTTTATCTACCAATAAAATTGTGCGACGGATTTTCCTGTCGAGAAAACAAAAAAATAACTACTATGGAGTGTGACGGGGTCACACAGCACCTTGCGCTAGAGGAAGTTAGCTTCCGAGATTATACAAACGCGCAGTGAACGGCAGTTCACAGGTCCCCTCTTCATTCAAAAGAGAGCGAAGTGACCTAATTAAGGTAGAATGTAAACTGAGTATATTTATAGGTAGATAAAGCTTGGGTTTAATACAAACTATAAGTCACCTATAGAAATGCAATGTCATCAACCAATGGTTAGCTTTGGACGACCTTGGTACTTTGTACCAAGTATCCCGAAGTATGACGTGTCACACTTCATGTAACCAGGGTACACTTAGGGCTACGTACCCCGTTACATCCTCCACCACTTAGGTTCGGTTTACCGACCAATCAGAATGCAGAGGTGTTCGTCACAAACTCTCATTCTCAAAGTCGAAAACCATCGACTTGGCCGCGCGAGCGCGGCGGAGGCTCACTTTACAGTTAGAGCCCCGAGCAGCAGTCTCTGCGCTCTTCTTTAAGGTCTCCACTTCGACCGTTTGCCATGCCTCGTGGCACTGTAAAGAGCGGTGCTAAGACACGCTCCAAGGCTGCTGCCGGTAAGGCGCAAGCTAAGAGCACTAAGCCTCACGGCAAAGGCTCAGCCCTAAAGGAGGCTACTCAGGTGGCTTCCGAGGCGATCGGTTCCTCGGGTGACGCGGCTGTGGGCAAGCGAGCAAGCAAGCGCCGCAGCCCGTCGCCCTCGGCCTCTCCAGACAGCCGTCCGAGCCCTCGGTTCGTAGAAAGTAAGTTCAACTCTGGCAGTGAGGACGAAGCCGAGTCCGATAGCACGCACGATGCTCCTGCGGGCTCTGTGGGAGGGCACCGCCCAGTGCCCAGTGAGCAAAAGGATGACAGTGTGCAGTCGCTCGCTAGTGATCAAGGTGATCACAGTCCCAGGACGAAAGGGAATTTTCGCAAACGTCTCTCGCTTGCCGAGGGTCTTGCGCATGCTAAGGCCTCTAAAGCCGAAGGCGACAAGCCCTCGAAGAAGCGTACAGCCTCTAAGTCTCCACTCCGCGAGGAGACGGAGACTTAACACTCCTATCATAGTATCTTTGACTCCTCGGATGAAGAGGAAGAAAAAGAGGAAGACGAGGGGGGGTGCTATCGCTGAGCCCCGGGAGGTCTCGAATGACCTCGACCAGCAGCAGGAGGAATTCCAAGCTGCCCAACGAGTACGTGGGGGTTCGGTGGTGGCACCCGTCAGCTAGGGAGCTGCCATCAACTCAAGAGGGTATTGGCCTCCCGAGGAGAGCTCTGGGGCTGACCTCTTCTTAGAGCTTCTCGTCGCTCCTCGTGGCCTTGTGGACGGCCACACCTCTAGGGGCATTTACGAACGTGCCCTTGTTCAGAAGGAACAGCTGTTCGTTGACAGCTTGGAGGCTGCTCGGTGTGTGCTTCTCGCGCCACACCGCATCCCCCTAAAGGACTCCACGACTTGTCGTAAGAAGCCCGAGACCCGGGGTGGTCTCTATCCTCTTTGGGATGCCCCTGGGTTATGCCCGAGAACTGTCCCACCTGGCGTTCTTGTGAGGACATGCTCTGGGTATGGGTAGAGTCTCTCAAGTACTCACCCACGGGGTTACGGGAACTCCATGAAGATCAGCTGCTGTCCCACATCCTGGACTAGCGTGATCTTCGTGTTCGGTTTGCCCACTTGGTCAGCAAGCGCATGCTGCCAAGGGACATCCTGAAGCATGCGGCTTCTAGCGCTCACGACGAGCGAAGTGTATTCAACGTCCGTACCCCGTTCGGGCAAGAAGCCCCCGACTACTTATGAAGCTGCCGCCGCTTCTGTTCCCAGATTGCGACAGCCTTCGGGCGGTCAATCAGGAGCCGCTCAGTCGGCTCCCACGAGCTCTCGGAGTGGGCATAACCCCTCCCCTTCACGAGGAGCTGTCGCTTACCGCGACGCCGTTATTCCTGGAGGATCCGCTCCACGTGGAAGTGGACTTCTCCATTCCGGTCAAGCAGGGGTGAAGGCGCCCTCGTATGAGTACGAGTACTCGGCGCCTCCCGAACGCCACTTTCGTCCGAGTGCCCCGGCTCCAGGTCCGACACAGGGCCCTGAGGTTGACCGCCTCCGTCAACGTGTCCTCGTGCTTGAGATTACACTTGGCCTTGGGACTGGCGGTGATGCGTTTGCCCAGGCCGGGAATCAGGGCGAGCTTGCTCGTCTTGCCGATCGCCTGGTCCTGTTGGGGCGAGAGGTCGCGAGCCTGCATCTGCGGGTGGATAGCCGGGCCTCTTCGTCCGATCTGGACGACGCCTTTCGCATGATCCGACGGATCGAGGCTCTGCTGCCACGTCCGGAGCCGCCTGCAGCACACTCCCAGACATACGCGTATGGTGCGTACCCGGCGTACTCGGCGTATGGATCCGGGGTCCGTCCGTACGGAGCCCCTCCAGCGTACGGCCTTGACCGCCGCCTTGCCGTTCCGACCGAGGCTTGGGTGCCTGCTCCGACGCCTTCGTCGACGTCTGTGGCCCGCCCTCGGTTTAAGAGGCTGGGCCAAGGTGGGTCTGCGAGTCAGCAACCCCCTGCGGATCAAAGTACCGCTTAAGACGTCCAACATAGAACGTCGGGTGCGTCGTTATTGATTTTGGCAGGTCGATGGTGTACGACGCACCATGTCTGGCCAGGACTGCAAATGGTCCGATGAAGCGGTGCTTCAGCTTGTTGCTGCCGACAGAGCTGATAGTGTCAAGAGGTAGGTTCCTCGTGTCTAGTAGCACTAAGTCCCCCACTTTAAATACACTTAAGTTTCCTCTTCCATGTTTGTCGGAGTACTCCTTTTGTTTATCTTGGGCCGCTACCATGGCATCGCGGACCCTGCTGACAACGCTCAGCTTGGTATCCATAAAGGGTTCCACTTGTTTCCGCAGCGAAACTGGTCTCACATCCGAGACCTGGGAGGAAAGGGCTTTTCGAGCCTCTCCCCCACTTAAAATAGTGGAGTCAGTGTCTCCTCGAAAAGTGAGAGCCACTCTAAGGTGACGGAAACCGTTCCAGTAGAACGACGTGAGCCCCGTGGACCCGTGCACCGCGTTGTTGAGCGCAAACTCAACAGCTGGAACCTGCGTCGATTACGTACGTGGTGCTGCCGCGCACACTCTGCGCAAAGTGTCCTCGAGCACTCGATTGACGCGCTCTGTCTGGCCGTCTCTCTGCGGATGGTCCGCAGTGGACATCTGCAGACGAGTTCCCAGTAAAGGGAACAGCGTTTTCCAGAGCGCAGCCGTGAACCGCGGGTCTCGGTCCGAGTCAATCGTCTCCGGGAGACCGTGATGGCGGAACACGCCATCGACGAACAACCTTGCGGTTTGTTCGCCCGTAACAGTGAAGGGAACCGGAGCAAGATGTACCATCTTGCTCAGCCGACACACGAACACCGAAATTCCGGTGTTGCCGAGTCCAACGGCGGGAAGCCCAAAGATGAAGTCAAGACTCATCGACTGCCAACAGTCAGCCGGGACGGGCAGGCTCTGTAGTGGAGCCGAAGAGTGCCCTGCGGGTTTGACCCGCTGACATGTTTCGCATGTCTTAACGTATCGGGCGACCCACTTGTATATGTGGGTCCACCAGAAGACCTGAGAGACCGACAGAAAGGTCTTCTCACGGTCCAAGTGGCCGCTGGAGGGCGCGTCGTGCGCCTCCGCGAGAATATCGAACTTCAGATCCTCGTTGTTGGGTACGACCACCCGTGGAGGTTCATTGGGCTCCACCCGGTAATAGAGGAGGCCGTCCTTCAACTCATATCGGTGGAGCCGTGAGCGCTGTCGCGACGAGAGCCAGTCGGACTTCGCGCTCGTTCCTGCCATGAGGAACTTGACGATAGGCGGGACAGCCTCATCGTCCCGATACGCCATACGTATCCGATCATATAGATCCGCTGTCACCCGTGTGATGTGGGCCAACGCATAGTCAGGACGCCGAGAGAGGGCGTCCGCAAGCACGACGAGCTTTCCCGGCTTGTATTCGACGCGGAAGTTGTACTCCGCGAAGAAGGACAGTCGCCTCACCATCCTTTGGGAGAGGTGAGGTGAGTTAGTCGCCGTCCTCAAGGATGCGTGGTCTGTGTAGATCACGAAGGGTCTTAAGCCCGGAAGGTGAACACGAAACTTCACAAGGGCATATTGCATTGCCAGGAGCTCCTTGTCGTGGACAGGGTAGTTCCGCTCGGCGCATTGAGCTACCTGGACTTGAACGAGATGACTCGTTCATGCCCAGCCGTGTCGACCTGCAGCAATGCACACCCGAAGGCGTAGTCGGAGGCGTCGCAGACGACGCTAAACGGCTTCGTCTCGTCCGGCAGGGCCAGGACAGGGGCCTCTTGGAGCCTGGCCTTGATGCTGTCAAAAGCATCCTGGTGCTCTTGCTCCCAGCGCCAGTCGACGTCCTTCTGAAGGAGGCCCGACAAGGGCTCAGCGAATCCCGCGTACCCTGCGCTGTACTTGTGAAGGTAGTTGGCCAAGCCCAGCCACTTTTGAAGATCCTTTTGGAATCGGGGCGTCGTCCATGCTGCTATGACCTTGACCTTGTCTGGTTCCCGAACGCCCACGTTGCTTATGAAGCAACCGAGAACTTTAATCTCTGGTGACGCGAAAACGCACTTATCGATGTTGTCGTAGAGCTTGTTCGCTCGCAATACGTTCAACACTCGACGGAGGTGTCCTAGGTGCACCTCCATGGCCGTCTTGCCTCCCTCGGCACGGCTATGGACGAATATGTCGTCGAAGTACGTCTGTACGAAGGTACGCAACGGGCGGGACAGTTTCGTCACCAGGCGATTGAACGTCGCCGGGGCGTTAGACAAGCCCTGCGGTATGACGAGCCACTCCCAAAGCATGCCGCTTGGAGTGCTTACCGCGGTGAGCGGGATGTCACTCTCCCTCATCAGGATCTGGTAGTATCCGTCTACCTAATCCAGCGCAGTGTACAGTACGCTCCCGGCCATGTTGTTTAACAACACATCCTTTCGTGGGATTGGTGTTTGGGCCGGCACCGTTGCGTTGTTCAGCTTGTTATAAGCGTGAACCAGACGCCACTTTCCGTTCGGCTTCCGAACGCAGAAAGTCGGCGTCGAGTGCGGGGATTTCGATTCCCGCACCATGTCTGCCTTCGCTCTCGCGGCGAAAAAGGCATCGATGACCTAGCACTGTTCGCGCGGGAGAGGCCATTGCCTCGTGACGCAATACTTTGGGCCAGGCACGAGATCAATCTCATGCAGTACGCCTCGATCCGGTGGGAGTTGGGTCGGTGGGAGTTTGTTCACCACGTCCGCATACTCCGTCACCAAAGGATACACCGGATCCTTGGGGCTCTTAAGGATCTCAGAACCCAAGCGCGTCTGACGCTGCTTGCTTAGGTCTTCCAGGACGTTCTCGTCCAAGACAGAGGAGGAGAAGTTCTGCTCCTCCCGAGTGGTCTCAGGTCTCATGAGCACCATCTCGGCAATCGCTCCAGCCTTGAGGCTGGCCAGGAAAGACTCAACCGTCATTTCATCGAGGTTCAGTATCTCAGCAGCCTCTGGCAACGGTTCCAAGTGGACACCAGATGCCTTGACGGGTAAACCGGTCTCGCCATCGAAGGTGTGATAACCCTCTTCCACCGGCCTTGTCGGAGGAGCCCCGGCCCTGGCCTCCGAGTCGCTTGAAGCGACGTCGATCTGAACGAAGTTCGGATCCGACTTGAGGCGGCGGCGGCGTCGCTGACGACGGCGACCGTGACGTGGAGCTTTGCTGCCCATGTCTGAGGGTGTCGGCGCTGCGACATCCGAGGCACTCGTGGCCTCGTGTGGTACTATGGTACCCACACAGGAAGCGTGTTCGACGCCTCCCTCTTCAGTTAAGGTTTGGGCGACCGTGAGTGGAACTCTGTTATCCACTCTGAACACGCTGCTCTCAGTGTTCGTGACAGCTGCAGCTGTCTGCGGAACTAAGTTACCCGCCTGTGGACCTAAGTTACCCCCTTGGCCAGCGCCTCTTCTGGGCGCTGCCACCATCAAAACATCCTCGGAGTCGTCATATACGTCGACGACTCCCAAGCATCTGCCGGATGCTTTGGTGCCCTGGCAACCCTTGCGGGCGCCCCGGGTCCTGACAGAGGTGGGAACATGACTCACCAATGCTCTGTCGGACTACGCAGGGCGACTGGCACCGATTGCCTTGCCTCGCCAGTCGATCCAGGGCTCGTGCTGCTCAAGCCAGGGCATGCCCAGGATCATATCATATGGATCCATATCAACAACAGTGAACTGTTTGAGGCTGTCAAAGTCTTCAAACTTGACGGCCAGATCCACTTGGACGTTGGGTACAGTGACGACCTTCCCGTCGGCCAGTCGCACTGACACCGTCCAGTTGCCCTTGCTTTCTCTCCAAGCATCGGACAGCTTGTTGCTATTACGAGCAATTGTCTGGCGGCGTGCGAAATTCTTCGACGGTCCAGAATCGATCAAGACTCTAAAGGGATGATCGTATCCCCGTACACGACCGTGTACTACGAGCAACCCGCCGCTGCTCTTCGCCGATTCGAGAGTGCGAAGACTCTCAGGGGCTAAGTCCCCGTGGTACGCGCCACCCGCGCACCCATCACGAAGACTTAGTTCTTCCCCCCTACTGGTTCCCGGCGTTCCCCTGTCCCCGGGATCCTGGCTTCTGCCAGCGACCCTTGAGGACGGTCTTGGGGAAAGACCGTCTGCGGAGTCTTTCCGCGGGACAGTCGCGCTTAAAGTAGCCCATCTTCCCGCAGCCGAAGCAGCGGATGTCACGCTGTTCGGCGGACACGAGTTCCATGGGAACTGGTTTCGTTGGGGCTTGTTCAACCGGGAGCCGACAAAGAACTCCCAGGCCACGCTGAGGCCGGCGTACGCGCCTGACGATGGCTGTGCTCCTCTTAAAGAGCCACTTGAATCGCTTCTTCAAGGGTGCTTGACTGCACCCGGAACAGCTGAGTGCGTGCGGGGCCCACTCGAAGGCCGTCCATGAACTTGATGTGCTCGTTGAGTGGGTTTCCCACTAGGAACACCATGCTTCCCGTATCTCTTGCACGTACTCGTGCCGTTCACGCCTCCCTTGCTTACACGAGAGGAAGCGCGAACGCTGGCGGTACTCGTAGTTCGCCGGGAGGAACGCGGCTCGGAGCGGTTTACACAGCTGAGCCCAGGATGTAAAACATCCAGGTGATGTTGCTTCTAGCGTGTACACCCAACGCTTAGCACAGCCGCTAAAGTTGGAGAGTGCAAAAGCCACACGAAGTTGCTCGGTCGAGATCAGAGCCGCGTCCATCGCGAGCTCTACTTCTCGGACCCAGAAGTGAAGGTTCTCGCGTTCCTTCCCTTCATACGGCTTAACCTTCAGCCGTATTGGCTTCGGGTGGGGCGGATTTGCTCCCGCCGCCGGAGCCTGCAGGTTCTCCCGCACATGCGCGATGAGGCCCTGCTCGTACGCGTCAAACGCATTGACGCGCTCGAGGTGCTCGGCCGGTGTTGACACCACCAGGCTCTGCAGGGCCTCCATCCCGAAGATGCCTGCCATCTTCCGAACCGACTCGAACTGAGAGTCGTTCATATGGGAGAAGTCGTTCCTGTCCATGGCAACGAGCTTCAAAGAGGTTCAGGTAGTCTACCCGCGGTGGCGTGGATTGACTACGAGTGCTACCAAGTGTGACGGGGTCACACAGCACCTTGCGCTAGAGGAAGTTAGCTTCCGAGAGTATACAAACGCGCAGTGAACGGCAGTTCACAGGTCCCCTCTTTATTCAAAAGAGAGCGAAGTGACCTAATTAAGGTAGAATGTAAGCTGAGTATATTTATAGGTAGATAAAGCTTGGGTTTAATACAAACTATAAGTCACCTATTGAAATGCAATGTCATCAACCAATGGTTGGCTTTGGACGACCTTGGTACATTGTACCAAGTATCCCGAAGTGTGACGTGTCATACTTCTAAAGTGTGACGTGTCACACTTCATGTAACCAGGGTACACTTAGGGCTACGTACCCCGTTACATGGAGGATGGCGTTCAGAGGGTGGTGGATTTTAGCGTCGTTGTCTGTAGATCAGTTAAGTAATTGTTTTGTTTTGTGCGTTGGATGCTGTCGATTATCTTTTTTTGGTGGTCAATTAGACGGTGGTGGATGAATTTGAGCGATAGAACGACCAGCCCGACCTGGTGGTGGGGTATTACATCTTCCACATTGGTGCAGGGACCGGTGTTTTATTACTAGTAGTGTTAAAGGCGTATCTGAAGCTGCAGGATTCATTCGTTAACAGCATCTGAGATTTTCGGTGTTTCAAATATGTATTTTCAATTCGTTAAAACCATTATCTCACAAGAAGCTCAAGTGCAGATCCAGGCGCTGCTCGTCACGAATCTGATCTCTGCGTCTGAGCTGCAGCTCACAAGTCCGTTCGAGAAGTTGCATCGCTGGTCTTACGACCTCAAAATGAAGCCGCAACGAAACTCAACTCGTATTATTCTCCGGTACGTGCTGACAACTGGCAGAACGGTCCACTCAAATCACGTAATCTGTGGGTATTGCGCTATTTTTTATGGCTCGGTAGGCAGGTAGATAGCAAGGCGAGGAGAAGAAGCTTTAGTTGGAGACGTCGAAAGACGAAGTAAGTGTATTTGAGAGAGAAGCTAGCTCCAGTACATGACTAGCCTAGGGAGGGTGAGCGTATAGTATGGCTCACTCTATAACATACTCTACTCTATCGTAACAGCTTACGAAGGGTTTGAGCTGACTGCATATCAGCTCTTGGGTACACCGTACCATTGTTAAAGAGGCGACTTCAACAGCATCCCTGCCTCTTTTAATATTGTTCGACAATACCCAAAGATTAGATATTGCAAGCCAACAAAAAAATATTTTTAAAATCAGTTCGAAAGCTGACACCAGGAGGAAGCCAGCGCTGCTGACTCTTCTTGGCGCTCTCAGCCTTCGCTGTTCGCGAAGAGGATCACGCTGGCACGCCCGATGGCAAAAGTTTGGAGGACATGCGTCACAAAGGGCGCTGCGCTAGGACACGCGGAGACGAACAGAAAGCCAACACGTAAACCTAGCAAGGCGGCGGCCATACGTGCAGCCAAGAAAGGGCGAGCTGCTTCGCGCGCTGCGACTGGAACTATTGACGCAACTGATACCCTGAGACGTGAACCAACTCCCATGAGCATGGAGGAGAGCAGTGGAGCAGAATCAAGGGCGCGGCAGTCGAATCCCACCGCCGTGGCGTCACAACTGCTCAGTGGTGTCATTAAAGCGAGGGAAAAGAGTGACACTTTGAGAGCCAAATGGGCATGCCCAATTTGCTCAAACGTTAGCCTTGCGTGTTTCCTTCGGTGCTCAAAATGCAAATTCTGGCGTGTACGGGCAGAGGATATAATTGAGCGATCTGCTGACAACGCGCTTACCTCTGCCATTACTGAGGCTAACAATGCATTAGCGTCTGACACCGACCGTGCGGCTAGTGTCACAATCTGAACGGATGCTGTAACAGATCCGGGCTCTACTGCCACCAATTCAGCAGCTACCGCCACCAATTCAGCAGCTACTGTCACCAATTCAGTAGCTATCGCCACGAATTTAACAACTATTGCCACCAATGACAAGACTGCTGCCACCAACCGCAAAACTACTGCCATCAATGGCAAGACTAGTGCCACCGACCAGTTACACTACCCGATGTGGGGAGAGTATTATACTGGTCGGGATGTGACTGTTGACCGTAGATTTGCGTCAACAGTCGAGGTGTGGCAGGTGGCCTATATCAGCGACCGTCGCGTGACGGCCCTCGACCTCTGAAGAATACAAAAGTAATTCATTATCCTTACAAACATAAGTAAGTTTAAAAACGACTTGAGTTTCTTGTTACCGATGCAGCGTAAAATGAAAAGTGAGAATCAAACTAAACTAGCTCTCTACATCCTTCCTGCACTGCCTACTGCAACACTCGAATTCTAGAAGATTGGAATGACTCCGAATGTTCGATGACACAGCAAGTTGCCTTTTATGTGCACCACACAATCCTGTGGCGTGGTGCAGACTTCAACACTCCCCCTCAACTTGCTCTTCTTGCACTTGGTTGTGCACAACTCCGCTCGATCTCACGAGAGCAATAAACTGAGGAGTCGGTAGGGGCTTCGTCATGTAGTCGGCCAGCTGGAGCTTGGATGGCACGTGCTCGAACTTAATTGTCTGCTTTTGAACGTGATCACGGACGAAGTGTACACGAAGATCAATGTGTTTGGCACGAGGAGTGTACCCGCTGTTGGTAGCCATGCTTATAGCAGCCTTGTTGTCAACTAGCACCGTCGTAGCGCTATGGATGTTGACTGTCATCTCTGTCAGTAGCTGCCGCGCCCATAACACCTCTTGAACCGTGACGGCGACTGCCATATACTCAGCCTCAGCTGATGACAGCGCGACTGTAGCTTGTTTCTTGGCCTTGAACAAACCTGGTCCACCACAAATTTGAGCTAGCACTCCAGAAGTTGAATGGCGCGTAGCTAAATCACTGCCCCAGTCAGCATCGCTAAATGTGACCATTTTAAACTCGGTAGCACGCACGTACTTGATTCAAGTATAAGAGGTCCCCTTGAGGTAACGCAGCGCTCGCACCGCAGCTCTCCAATGCATTTCGCACGGATTTTCAAGATGTTGAGAAAGAATACTGACAGCGATGCAAATATCGGGTCTAGTTGCATTTGCAACGTACAGTAACGAGCCGACAAGCTCCCGATACGGGGTTTTTGAGTCCAAACGAGGGTGTTCGTCTCTGGCACGTAAGTCTTGACCGACTACACTTGGGTTTCGAACTGGGTATGCACTCGCTTGCCCAAAACGCTCAAGCATCCGCAAAATATACTGCGACTGGCCCACGAACAGCTCCCCCTTCTTTAGGTCATAGTGAAGCTCCATCCCAAGGATGTATTTTGCATCTCCTAGTGACTTCAGCCGGAAATGCGTACTTAAATTCGCAGCAATACTTGACGCCTCCTCTGCTTTAGCACAATCAATAAGCAGATCGTCCACGTACAAAACGACAAACACCGGACCGTGTGCGCCAACACGAACAAAAAGACACGGCTCTGATCTGCACTGCTTGAATTCCATTGCGAGAAACACTTGACGAATCGTCTTGTGCCAAACTGCTGCTGCCTGTTTTAAGCCGTAGAGGCTGCGACGTAAACGACATACCATGCCATCTTGAACTCGAATCCCTTTCGGTGGCACCATGAACACTACTTCTTCTAGATTGCCGTTTAAGAATGCTGTCTCCACATCGTATTGCTTCACCACGAAACCAAGCTGGCAACAAACCGCCAAAAATATGCGTACAGTGTTCAAACTCGCAACAGGCGAATAGGTCGACGTGTAGTCCACACCAAACGTCTGAAAACAACCGAGAGCAACCAGTCTCGCCTTGTATCGGATAATGTTGCCATGTTCATCTCTTTTGAGTGCAAACACCCACTTATGGCCAATGACTCGCACACCTGGGGGGCGATACACCAAGTCCCAAGTGTGGTTTCTCGCATGAGCACGAATTCCAGCACGGCAAGCCTCCTTCCACTTGGCGGCATCAGGTGACTTTATCGCCTCCATAAACGAATTGGGAGCTGACTCAGCAGCAGAGAGGGCGATTTCGTATCCATCATCAATTCTTGGCCGTTTAGAGTCAGGTTCAGCAGTACTTTCATCCGACGAGTAGCCGTTTCCACGTTCATTGTCTCCATTTTCCAGTAGTAGCGACGCAGCATCATCTTAACTGTTCCGGGCTTGGCTCGGGGGTAACGCCGGATACCTGGACGGTGTTCTCGAGCTGGCTGACGGAGGTCCAGCCTCTAGAAGGCGGGGTTGGAACTGATTCGAAATACGAGCTTGGCGTGGTCTAGTCGGGCCAAATACCAGATTATCGCTCAACGAAGTATCCGGTCGACGCACTGCTTGAGATAGTGTTGGTACTACCGCCGTGGACTCTAACGATGACGGCTGCGCGAGTTGACGAGTAGAAACAACACTTGAACTTGAATGTGATGGTAGCATCGGTGCGTGTCTCTCATATCCTCCTCTACGAGACAACTCGTGTCCGCCACGCTGCACTTGAAGTGACATATCCGGCGCGTCGTCAACCTCCATATCCACCGTAGCATTATTATCCTCCTCCATGTCAACATCAGTCTCACCATCAGTATTAGCAGGAGGTGAAGACTGTCGCTGCAACGCATTTGCATCATCGTCAATCACCATTGGAGCTTGTTGTGTCGTGTGAATCACAGCGTGATAGGTATCAACTGGGCGTTCATCCAGTGCAACCGTCCTCGTCGTCACTAGTCGCTCATCCTCACAGTCCCAGACTCGATACGCTTTTGATCCTGGCGCATATCCGAGGTAAATGCAGCGATGCGCTTTAGCGTCCCATTTGCTCCGACGTGACTTGTCAACGTGTACAAAACCTTTCGCTTCAAATACGCGGAGATGGCTGAGATCGGGCTTGACACCGGTGAAAACTTCAAGTGGAGTGCTCTGTGGCCGTGCGGTGTTAGGAACATGGTTCACAATGTATGCTGCCGTACATACCGCTTCGCCCCACCATCCTCGATCGAGACCGCGATGATAAACCATTGACCGGGCCATTTCAACAAGAGTGCGATTCATTCTTTCTGCAAGTCCATTTTGCTGTGGGGTGTGCGGTGTCGATGTTTGATGGACGATACCGTAAGCCACAAAGAGTTCCTCAAAGCGCTTGTTCACGTCTTCTCCACCATTATCGCTTCTCAGGCAGCGAATCTTGCAACCAGCCTGCGTCTCCACTAACTGCTTGTACTCTTGAAATCGCGAAAACACCTCCGACTTCGCCTTCATCAGGTAAATGTGCACGAACCTCGAATAGTCATCGACAGAAGTCACCACGTACCGGGCTCCCCCTTTCGAAAGAGGCTTCATGGGGCCCATGACATCCGAGTGAACAATGTCGAGTAAGCCTTGGGGTCTTCACTGTGCTGCCATATTGTCTTGAGAACGGATTCACAGTCATTTTTCCACACGAGCACCCCACGCATGGCTCTCCGCTAGTCACATCACTCACCGTAAAAGAAGGAATCCTGCTTGCAGCTCGCGACGCCAGAACGAACTTCTTCTTGGATACATGGCCAAGTTGATCATGCCACAGTTCTTCAGTAGGCACCAACGCAGATGCAGCAATTTCCGCTGCTTCATCTTCGGGTTTAATCAATGTCACGCTCAACACAAATAACTTCCCACACTTTCTCACGTGTGCAACCACCTTGTCACCAAAACGAATGCTACAGCCATCTCCATCAAAACTAATCGCTGCTCCTTTTGCCACAAGAGATGGAATTGAGAGCAAGCGCCTGTCTAAATCAGGTACATATAGAACTTCAGTCACCTTGATCACAGGTCCATTTCCAACAGTAAAACGAACCACTCCAGTCCCAACAGCACGCAGTCGTTGGCCACTTGCGACCACAATATCCGTCGGTTCTTGCAATGCACGGAACTCATCAAAATCAGAACGATCATGCGTCATATGCGAACTAGCTCCACTATCCAAAATCCAGTCAGGTGAGGTTTCCGTCGACGCGGCAAATACAAATTCATCACGGTCATCCCTATTGGCGAGTCGCGGGCATTCACTACGCCTGTGTCCATACTGGTGACACTCAAAACACTGACCCGAGAAACCTGAGCCTCCGCGACCCCCACGTCCTCGTTGACTTGCCACCACGACCACTAGCACGTCGACCACCAGCTCCCCGACTACCGGAACCTCGACCACCGGAAACTCGACCACCGGAACCTCGCCCACGACCACGAATCCCTGACTGTGGCCACTTACTACGCCCATTGTTTCCTTGTCTGCCAACATGTGCATCTTGCGACACTGCAGTAAACGCTTCCTCTTGCTTGTCACGCTTCCGCAGCGTCTTAAACTCGCGGCGCAACATCTCTTTCGCATCAATCAACGTTACCGACGAATGAGCCTCAATAATCTTCACCATCGCGTCATATTCACTCGACAAGCTCCCCAGGAGGATCACCAACTTCTCATCATCACTTAAATCGTCACCAACAGCAGATAGTCGTAAACAGAGGTCGTCAAACTTTAACAGGTGATCCAGCAAATCCGATCCTGGGGCCATTTGAAATTCATGCAGCTGCTTCCGAAGCATCACTCGGTTGTGCAAATTCTTCTTGACAAAAAAATCACGTAGCGTCTTCCACGCTTCTTTAGCAGACGAACATTCTCGAATCATCGTCTGATAGACTGGGCTCAACAGCTTGGAGATCACAGCCAGCGCCTTAAAGTCGGCGGCTTTCCACTCAGCAGTCTCCCGCTTCGCTGCATCTGCTGGCTTCATCCCCGTAAGATCTTGTACATGCTCTAGCAGGTCCTTCCTCGCGAGCGTCATGCGGCAGTTGAATTCCCATAGGAAGTAGTTGTCCTCTCGCAAGATGTCGTTGGACTCCAACGGCGTTATTGGGCTCATAACTAAAAACGACTTGAGTTTCTTGTTACCGATGCAGCGTAAAATGAAAAGTGAGAATCAAACTAAACTAGCTCTCTACATCCTTCCTGCACTGCCTACTGCAACACTCGAATTCTAGAAGATTGGAATGACTCCGAATGTTCGATGACACAGCAAGTTGCCTTTTATGTGCACCACACAATCCTGTGATGGTGCAGACTTCAACAAGTTTTTTTTTAAATTTCAAATAATGCCAGAACCTGAAGAGCCGGTAGCGTTTGTTTAGGTATACCGTTTTACACTTCTTGAGATTTGCTTTGACAAAGGTATCCACAGAGTCATTCTGTAAGCCACAGTTGTGGTTCAGTTTGCTATTTACTCTTTGGCACACATTTAAAAAATCTCCAGTAGCAATGGGTTTCTACGGCGTCGCCACACTGGTCACCGTTGCTGTTTTGGCGAGTTCTTCTACCTTGGCTGTAGTGGACCCGAACACACCGGACTTCTTGCCTTTGTATCAGACGTCGGCTGCTGTCGAAGGCAACGCCCCCACTCCTAGGCTCCTGAGAGGTATTATCCAAGCGGACGATGGCGAGGAGTGGGCGGCCTTGCTCGACCAGCTTAAAAATTTGCTCAAGTGGGACGATGCGATTGTAAAGGGATTGACGAGCAAGTCAGAAACCCCTTATGGGGCTCTTGTTTCGCTAGGCCTTAGCAAAGTCGACAATAACGCTCTTTCTGACGCCAAGTTTGGAAGTTGGTTCAAGTACGTTACCAAGACCAACAAGCACGACTGGGAAACCGCCACGATTTCGGCTCTCCGACACGAGAACAGTGACGCAGTCGTGGCCAGCATGATCTTGGCGGGGAAGAACGGGAAGAACAAATCAGTCGCCAAGAAGCTGGAGCAAGCTCAGTTTAAGAATTGGCTGGACGCTGGTTACCGACCACCAGATGTCATTGAAAAAGTGTACAAGCTCGGTCCGGGTAAGTGGACTAAAGCTGACGCTAGACCAGTCTGGAAGGCATACACGGAGTACTTTAAGAAGATGCGCCCCGAACGTTTGACCTAGATCTTGCTATAAGAAGAGGGAGTATCTGCCTTAATGTATTACATGCTTAAATGCCGTAACCGCAATGATGCGCTTCGACCTTGCTTTCAGCATGTTGTTCTACTATCATTGAGGGTGCTTAAAGTTGAAATAATAATGTTCACGTCAGTTTTTCGGTGCAAATTGCGTGAGCACATTTACTGAAGCTATAAAGTAACTAAACTGAGATTTTCAGGTGGCTACTTCGTTTTACTACAATATTTTTCTCTGCAAAACAATGCCCGGGATATTACGGTCCGTCCAACGACTCCGATGCATTCCGAGGAACAGTATACACCACCTCCCGTAACTTCTAGCCCCCGAGGGAGTGCAACAGTTCAGCCATCGGCAGAGCCAGGGGCACGTGTATAAACAGATTTGCTCCGTGCTCCCACCGCCGAGGCACAAAAGAGTCAATTGGTGATGTCATTTGGAGCATTTATGCTGTCGATATCGCTGGGAGCGATTGCATTGTGTTTCGACGATAAGATTCTCGAGGCGACCGGCATTCAGAGCGGTCTCTTGTTGGGGTCAGTCGGGCCCCTCACCATGTGTGATCTGGTCATTCATTCCTATCTCAGTTTCAAATGGTATCGCCGACACATGCACATTTTACTCCTAAACTTAGCGCTGTGTGAGTTCTGCCTAGCGATTTCGGTTCTACTAGAACCAGCACGGAATCGACTAGGGGGAGGGAGCCATCTCTCCTGTCGATGGATACGCTACAGTCTTGCTTTGACACTCCATTGTGTTGTTTCTGACCCTTCAACTTCGACAGCTATCGACAGCACGAGAGTGTCTTATCATTTGCTCCAGCGCCTCGACGATCTGCACAGCTCGATTTATATTTTTTGTTCGTTTCTAATCGCAAATTGTTTTATTCTGTTTCTAAATCCTAAGTAAGATGACGAACCCGTTCACGTCTCCGCGCCTTAAATCGCCACAAATACCACCCGATTACGATTGGGTAAAGGTAACGATCGAGGTTCTCTTAAAGCATCACACGGATTAAGAGCTGATGGACATGATTCTAAAGGCGAAGGTTGGGAAAACGAACTAGAGAATGCTATGATTGGTAAATGGCTCGACGAATATTGTTTGTCAAATACTGCCACGGAAAAAGTGTTCAAGCTCAAGATGGAGGACATCAAGGCAAACCCCGCCACAGTCAGAACATGGAAAGCGGTAACAATTACTTCTACGCGTATCCTACTGTCGGTGGCTCCCCCCCCCCTTAGCTGACAACTCCAATACCACGGGGCGCATTTTGTTAAACTACTTGTTGTAAGCCATCATGACTGGTTTAGCATCAGTATTAACCCACTTACCCGGACCGAACTTGTACGCTTTTTCGATGACCGGTAACCCAACTCTTGAAGTGAGCTTGCTCCCGCTTCTTGGCGACTGCTTTGCTCTTCCCGTTCTTACCCGCTAAGATCATACTGGCCACTACAGCTGCAGTATTCTTCTTTCGGAGAGCCGAAATCGTTGAAGTTTCCCAGTTGGGCCTATTGGTCTTAGTAACGTACTTGGGCCAGCTCCCAAACTTGGCCTTCGAAAGGGTGTTTTTGTTGATTTTGCTAAGACCTAACGAAACGAGAGCCCCGTGAGGGGTTTCCGCCTTGCTCATCAACCCCGTTACAATCGCATCGTCCCACTTGAACCAGTTTTTGAGCTGCTCTAGCCAGGCTACTCTCTCCTTCCCTTCGTCCACTTGGATATTACTTTTCAAAAGCAGAGGAGTGAGGGCGTTGCCTTCGACACCAGCTGACGACCGATACGGCAATAAGTCCGGTGTGTTCGGGTCCACTACAGCCAAGGTAGAAGCACTCGCCAAAATAGCAACGGTGACCAGTGTGGCGCCGCCGTAGAAACCCATTCTGCTACTGGAGATTTCCTAAATGTGTGCCAAAGAGTAAATAGCAAACTAAAACCACAACTGTGGCTTACAGAATGACTCTGTGGATACCTTTGTCAAAGCAAATCTCAAGAAGTGTAAAACGGTATACCTAAACAAACGCTACCGGCTCTTCAGATTCTGGCAATGTTTGAAATTTAAAAAAAAACGTACTTATGTTTGTAAGGATAATGAATTACTTTTGTATTCTTCAGAGGTCGAGGGTTTATTCAAGGAAGCCCTAGTTGGATAAGTAGGTCTCTCATTTTGAAAACGAGGTCAGATTTAGCCAATTCGAAGTCATTTTACCGCTGCAGGCACAAAAAAAGATTTTTCGCGTAATGAAAATCTGTAGAGTTGCTTCACGCTCAGCAGTGGAATTAAAAGTCATTTACACGCTAAAACAAAAAAGAAAAGCATCGATCCCGTCTGTATTAAAAAAATATTACCCTCGTTCTCCTTAAAAAAAATTGAACTGGATGACGGCGGATTAGTCCAAGGTACCAATCACGCACTTTAACTAAAAACAGGATTTGAACTGAATCATTCATCATCCGTGCCATCATCACCGGAAACATCGCCGTTGAAGTCAAACATTCCAACAAAAAAAACGGTAGCCCTTCCATTTGTAACCCTATGGTTATAAAATACTTTGTTCAAAGATAATAATTGAACGACATAATATGTACGTTACTTTAAGACGAATATACAGTACTGCACCCCGATTTCGCGACCTTGGACCTTTGATATACTTCTGGATGTGATGATCACAAATTCAAATAAGCTATTGTTTGTAAGCTTAAATATGATTTATTTGCAAATCCTATATGGTCCACCCCCGCGAAAACGGGGTGCAGTACTGTATACGCAAATGCAGAAGGGAATTGCACACGTCACAGCCCTCGCATGTGTCTAACCTAATCAAATGCATAACGTGTGGCTTTCAGCCAACGTACTGTTTCTGATCTAGGGCTTCTGTTGGGTAGGAGTCGATACTTAAGCCCGAAGCGACCATATCAGCTACAGTACAAGCAGCCAAGTCGATCGACCACTGGCATTTGGGTCACTCCCGCTACCATCTCGATTGTCTCTAACCAGTACGTGACGTTATGGACGATTACGATGAGGAGTCTCAGCATCTCTACGTAACAGAAGCGTTTTCTTACGCGAGAGGGGTTGTGACGACTGTAATATTGATAATTAGCTCTAAATTGGTTCGTATACGGAACTGGCCTGATTTCTGGTCTGATGTTTGTCTCATTAATGATCAGAGCAAGGATCTGAAGAACGTGGCGAAGTGATGAGGAACGCTCATTCGGGAAGATGCATCAACGTGCAGACGTGGGTGTCCAAGAGGAGACAAGTGGTGATGCGGCGGGGTAGCGACTGTATGACGGAGTGGAGGAGGTCGACAGAGATGAGGGCGCGCAGGAAATTGGTGGCGCCGAGACGGACCTGCAGCCCAGTGATCAAGTCGTGAGTGGGCCCAGCAACAGCGGCGGCGTGGGGCCGAGAAGTGCAGAGCGAACGACTTGCTACTTCAAGGGCTACAACTACGTGCGTGCATGGTCGTCGCAGCGGAAGATTGACTACCGTTGCTCTAAGTATCGAAAAGGCTGTAAGGGGAAGATGGAGTACACGATTGCTGCTATGGGCTACACTGCCGTAAAAACGCATACGTGCAGCGACCATGTCGTTACGATCTCCATCAGAAACGTAGAGAGCGAAATGAAAGCACAGAGTGATTTTCTTGCGATTGAGAATGTAGCGTGGCCAGCTCGCCGAGTGTGGGAGACGCTTCGCAGTCGGTTTTACGGTGGCGACAACCCTGACGTTGTCCGTGGGTTGTCAGAAAGCCAAGTTATCCGACATGTTCACCATGTGAGAAGCCAACACTACTCCGGTAACCTACACGGACCCATTGAGATCCCACCACGCTCACTTGCACTCGACGAGGAAGTGTCATTCTTCCAGCTCCACTGTGCGACGGCAAACCGTGAGGACGTGACTAAACCTACGCGCCGTTTGGGCTGGGCTCACCCAGCACTGGTGTCCCTGCTACGCTACCACGGATCGACGCTATTTGTCGATGGTACATTTCGTTGTGTATCACCAGCGGTACGCACAATGCGTCATATTCATGGTGCATGATCCGGCTTCGGGTGTTTATGTGCCAGTATTTTACGTGTTGAGCACTGCAAAAACTGAAGACGCGTATTGGGACATGGTCCACTTTGTTGTCCAAGCGACAGATCAGCAGCTCGAGCCGGCGGAGATTGTGTGCGACTTTGAAGCCGCGCTAATGAATGCCCTCCAGACTCAGTTCCCAAACGCTATTGTCTTGGGGTGCTTGTTCCACATGAAACAGGTTTTCCGTCGTGCAATGAAACGTTATGCAATAACTGATGAGGAGTGTATAATTGCGATGACACGCGGCCTGTTAGACACGCTGACTGTAATTGACCATGAACAAGTAGAAAGAGGTATCAAGTGCGTGAGGCGAGAGATCAATAAGCGCTGCAGTTTAGCTAAACCTGAGTACTCTACTGCGAAATGGGAGGAATTTTGGGGCTATTTCGAGAGGACGTGGCTCGAGAAGTACACGATTGACGTGTGGGACGTGTTTGGTCTCGACAACCAGCTCGTTGCGAGGACCAACAACCCGCTCGAACGTTTCAATGGAGAGCTTAACAGTAGGTTTCCTACTCCGCACCCTTCGATGGCCACATTTGTGACCGTCATCAAGACGATAGCAGCCGAGTACGTTCGCCGAATTGGCGACGTGCCCCGCGCCCGTGCCCGCAGAGTTACTCGCGAGCGGATCCAGCTCCCAGAGCCCGTCAATATTCCTACCGACATCGACAGCGACGTGGACGAAGCTACGGCGCTTGCTCTGCGCGCCTCCGACTCCACTCCAGTCTCCACTTAGATCGTGCCTGGTATCTAGTAGAACAGCCCTCCAAAGCACTTAACTTCTTCCCCATGTTGTTCAGTATCTACGTTGGCCACGCCAGGTAGCTACTAGCACAGTCATCCAATGCATTCAGATTATTTCCATACAAAAAATTCCTTCCAATAGTTAAGT